GTCAAAACATGCTAGAAAGACATGCTACTTTGATGAGCCACAAGTAAGATTACACTACACATACAAGAAGCATGCAAGGGGTGATCAAGACAACCAAAAACAGAGTCATGGCAGGTCTAAAAAGTCACAAAAAAGTGCTCAAACAAAGCTTCAAGAAGATAGAACTACATGCTCTTGTGATGAGCAATCAACACAAGCATACAAGAAAAAAGGAGGGGGACAACCCCCACCCATTTGAGGCCTCAAAACCAAGTTTCCACCGCTGAAATTCCTCTGGAATTCAGTGGTAGAAAGGCCAAATAAAGGTGATCACAAAGGCTCAAAGTAATGGCTCAAAAGCCTAGCAAATAGGGCATGCAAGGGAGTAGATCACCCCCAACACCAAGGAAGCCTCAAACAAACATCTTAAACACTTAAAATCAGAGCTTTTTGCAGTTTAAAGTTAGGCCTAAATTAGCATGCAAATAAGGCCAAAGACTTAACAAAAACAATACATGCTAAGATGGAGCCAAAACATGCTAGAAAGACATGCTACTTTGATGAGCCACAAGTAGGATTACACTACACATACAAGAAGCATTTAAGGGATGACCAAGAAAACCAAAAAAAGAGTCACGGAAGGTTTAAAAGGTCACAAAAAAGTGCTCAAACAAAGCTTCGAGAAGATAGAAATACATTCTCTTGTGATGAGCCATCAACACAAGCTTACAAGAGAAGAGAAGGGGAGGACAACCCCCACCCATTTGAGGCCTCAAAGCCAAGTTTCCACCACTGAAATTCCTCTGAAATTCAGTGGTAGAAAGGCCAAATGAAGGTGATCACAAAGGCTCAAAGTGATTGCTCAAAAGCCTAGCAAATAGGGCATGCAAGGGAGTAGATCACCCCCAACACCAAGGAAGCCTCAAACAAACATCTTAAACACTTAAAATCAAAGCTTTTTTGCAGTTTAAAGTTAGGCCTAAATCAACATGCAAATAGGGCCAAAGACTTAAGCAAATAGGGCCAAAGACCTTAACAAAAACAAAGCTTTAAGGGGTTAGAAACTCACCCTTGTAGAACAACTTCAAGGAAGCAACTCCAACAACCTTTTTGGATCAAAATCAGTCCAAAAACACCAAAACCAGCTTCAAGGTGCCTTAGCAACAAGAGTGTAGTGTTTCACTAAGTGTTTGTGTGCAAAAGTGTGAAGAATAGGCACTTTCAAGCACAAATATGAAGAGGAAGAGCAATATAAAGATAGATGATATATGTATAGCTCCAATACAAAAATTCTGAACCTAAAGCAAGAGGGAGGAGGCTCCCTTTTATAGAAAAACATGCATCAAGTTTGTTTAACAAGCTTGAAGCTTGAATCAATCCCTCCATATGGAGGATGCATTCTATGCCCAACAGTTGGCACAGCTGGCATGGAAAATATCTGCAGAAAGTGCAGGAAAGCTGCCGACCAGTTGAAGTGGTCGGCCAGCTACTTGCACTGGTCGGCCGACCACAAAAAGTGGTCTGCAGGGACAAAAAGTGGTCAGCAAAGGGGGAAGGTGGTCTGCACAGAGAGAGGAAGGTGGTGGCATGGCTGCAGACCACTTTTTTGGTCTGCAGACCAGAAAATGTGGCTGGTAGACCAAAAAAAGTGGCTGGTCGGGAAGAAAAGTGGCTGGCAAGGCCAAAACGTGGCTGGCAAGGCCAAAAAGTGGTTGGCAAGTGTCCAAATTGAAACCTCAGAAGTAAGCTCTCCAATGGTGGCATTCTTGCATCAAAATTCCAACTGTGCAAAAAGTTATGCCTGTTTTGGTGAAGCCGCTCAGTTTCGATCCTACCCGGATTTATGCCGAACTTCTCCCAAACTAGTTTTCTTCTCTCCTTTCCTCTTTTCTTTAACTCCAAACCCCTAAACAATGTGTTTTGAAAGATTTTTCAAAGATTTCATCTCTCTTTCATTCATTTCCACTTTGTCCTTACTCGGTTTACCGAAAAGCGCAACATTTAATGAAATGCGAGCGTTGAAACATCGTAGGAACTTTATTTCCAAAACATTTTGAAAGAGAGGGTTTCAAGGTCTAAAATCTTTTGATCCAGATTGTTTTGGTCCAAAAGGGGTATGAAGTTGGGATTTGACTCTCTCCTTGCCGAAGAAATTGAACTTTTGCCCTACACACATTTCACCACCAAGCAAACCATCAGTAGTGCCCAAGTCTTAAGGGTGGTCAAAAATGGGGTGTCTACACCCGCCACAACTCATACGATACAATTTTAGTCTTTTTGTGTGGCACTCTATTTATCATATGGCAAGCTGTCAAAATAGCATTGCCCCAGAGATTTGAGGGAGCACCTGAATCAATAAGCATAACATTCGTCAAGTCAATTAATGTTCTATTTTTTCTTTCAACTACACCATTAGATGAATGTGAATATGGTGGAGTAGTCTCATGAATAATTCCCAATAACAGAACAAAAGAGTTGAATCCAAGAGATTCATACTCCCGACCTCTATCACTTTTAATTCTCTTAACCTTTTTACCGAATTGATTTTCCACTTCAAGAAGGAATTTTTTAAATTTCTCAAAAGCATTTTTTTATTTTTTAATAAATATACGTTTGTGTATTTTGAAAAATTATCAATAAAAGTGATAAAATATCGGTTATCACCCCGAGTTAAAATTCCTTCAAACTCACACAAATCAGTATGAAATAATTCTAGCAATTCGGTATTTTTTTTCAACATTTTTATGAGGCCTCTTGCTAATTTTTGCTTTACTGCAAATTGCACATTTCTCAAAAAAATTTGTCACTTTAGGAATTAATCCTAAACTACTCATGATTCCCACATATTTACTGTTAATATGACACAAGCGAGCATGCCAAAAATTAATAGAAGACAACATATAAACCGAATTAGTAGATGGTTTATTAATCTCAACATTCAATTTTAACATCCCATCACAAGCATAACCCTTACCCACAAAAATACCATTCTTGGTAATCACATATTGATCAAATTCCATAGTTTGCTTAAAACTAGCCTTATTCAACAAATAACTTAACATCAAATTCTTCCTCATGGACGATGTATAAAGCACATCTTTCAAAGTAAGCACACATTCAGAGGTGAACTTAAGGTCAACCTCACCACTCCCAAGTATCTTGGTTTGACTAAAGTCACCAACCATAATTGTTTTCTCATGATCAAAGGGAGTATACACCTTGAACCAAGCTTGATCATAACAAACATGTCTATTGGCACCAGAATCTGTCCACCAACCGTCCACATAATTAACCATGCAAATGTTTGTAATCATCACCACAAATGGCTCCTCAATAACGTTAGCCTTTGGGGAAGGTACACGTTTTCAGAATTTACAAGTTCGAGCAATATGCCCACTTTTGCCAACAGACAAATCATGTAAAATTTTGTGGAGGTGATGGACCTTGGTTCTTACTTGGATTAATCCATTTATTGTGAGGTTTACCATAATTCTTCATATTCTTTTTATAAGGCTTCAAATAGGCATTCTTGGAATTGTGACCTTTGGGTAAGTTATTATTTGCTGAAACAAAGTTTACCTTTGTAGTAGAATTGTCATTACCCTCTTGTGTTATTAATGCATCTTGGCCTCTAGCCTCCTCTTCAACTCGAATGCGAGTGATCAATGCCTCTAAGGAAGTCTTCTTCTGTTTGTGGCGCATGCTCTTTTGGAATTTTCTCTAAAATGGCAGTAGCTTGTCAACAAGTACTGCAACTACCATTTGGAAATCTTGTGCTTGCTCCATAACAGATTTTCCATCCACCATTTGGAAGCGAAAAAAGTGGCTAACTACATACTTTTTTGCTCCTGCCTCTTCAGTATCATACTTAGTCTGTAAAGCTTTCCAAATTTTCTTTGCGAAAGTGTAAGTGGTCTCATAGTAATCATAAAATTGATCAGCAAGGCAATTTAAGAGATAAAAATGACAATTATACTCATCTTTATTGTAGGAAAACACTTTTGCTTCATATGCCTCCTAGTCTTCATCATTCATCTCCTCGGTTGGGATTTTGTTTGGGTTCTTCTCGGTAAGAACATATGCAACTTTCAAAAGGCTGAGTCAAAAAAGAACTTTTCCTTCCCACCTCTTAAAATGAACTCCATTGAACTTGAAAGGCTTGTTGAGATCTCCAATTCCATCATTGGTTTTTTCTAGTATTTGTTCCATGGTTGATCTCCTTAAATTTTTTAGAGAAAATACTAGAAAAATTATATTTTATTGATAAATAATGCAAAGAAAATGAGATACAAATAGATCAAGCTGAGGCATGGATATCTCGTTTTCTTTAAGGAGATCAAGCCCACTGCGATAGGAAGAATCTAAATACCGATGCAGCAGTCACAAAACTATGACTTGTCCTCTCCAGGATACAACAGCCCGTCCACTTGTCGTATGGTTCAGGCCAACTCTGCACAAGATGGTGGACCCAAAACTCCACCAAGAAAAACACCCTTCTTTGACTAGTAATCTCTCAAGTATAAATAATAGTTGGTGTAGAAAAGAGTAGATGAGAGGAACTATTTATAGGCCACTAGGACCTTACAATTTACACCAAAAAATAATAATGACCATTAACCGAGAGAAAAGGAAGAGTCTCCAAATATTAACTCAACACCAAGTTCATGAACTCTAATTAATCTCCATTCATGAACAAGACGAAAAGTCACCAAAACAATGAATCTCCATTCATGAACAAGAGAAGATTCATGAACAAAATATATAAATAAATAAATAAAAGATATTCAATTGGTCCAACACTATCCAAGTGATATTATGTGCTGGCATAATTGTTCGTCATACAGTCATATCAGGTAATTTTTGTAGGGATTGCCTGATCCCATTGCATTTGCAATATAGATTATAAATTTTAATCTTAAATATGAATTTACTAAATATTTTGAATAACATTCACTTTCCTAAGTTCATTATTGACTTGTGTTTATGTTTGGAATAATCTCAACTTCTGAATGAATCTAGGACCCTAATGGCTCCTGTGACACTCATCAAATGCTTGCAGTCCATTAAAGAATATGCTTTTGTTAAATCTCCATACCCTGTTATCGTAACTTTGGAGGGCCACCTTACAGCAGACCTTCAAGCTCAGGTTGCAGAGGTTAGCTTTAATTCTTTCTTTTTTTTCTTTTTACCTTCATGATTTTAAATTACAAAAAGATGAATTGATTTCAATGTTTCTATTGTAATAAAAACTAAATCTTCTTATAGATGGTCATTGAAACGTTTGGAGAACTATTATACTACCTTGCATCAAGGTGCTTGGAAGAATTCCCTTCACCAGAAGCCCTAAAGCATCGAATTATTGTTTCAACCAAACCACCAAAAGAATATCTTGAACTGAGGGTCCAACAGAGAAGGATTCATCTACTGAAGTAGCATCGGGAAAGGAGTCACCAGACCTTGCAGCTAAGCTGGATCCTGATGACAGGGTGAGCTCAGAAATAAATTTATTTCATCAGCTTATAATCTAGAAATGAAATTTACTTCATTCTGTTATAACTTCTAAGGTGCTCAATTACTTTAACATGTTAAAATTTTGTCATGGTTAACAAGACAACACCGATCAGGATGATGAAGGCAGTGATGGCTGTGAGCAGAAATCATGCCAGCTAGGAGCACGTCAATACAAGCATCTGATTGCAATTCACACTGGGAAACCAAAGAATGGATTGAAAGAGGCTTTGAGGGCTGGAATTGGAAAAATTAAACGTCTTAGTTTGAGTGAAACAACACTTCAAAAGGCAGCAGAATCTTATGGAATTGACCTTGTGAGGTAATCAATGAAGTTCTATGTGCTTAATATCTCTAAGAATTATCTTAAAACATTTATATTTTCACTCCAGTGAATGATTAGATCCCTGCTATTTTTATTAATCTTTTCTCTCTTGTCCCCCTTAGGTTCACACAAAAGAATATTCTGAGGGTATACCCAAAGGGGACCTGAGTCACCTCCTCAAATTTCAATCCACTTACTGAATGGAAGCATGGAGCTCAGATGGTTGCATTTAATCTGCAGGTTAGTTTTGAAGTCTTGTGTCTTCATAAAATCATGTTATTCATGTTTTTTTGGTGAGCTTTCGTAATATTTTCTCTATTTCTTAATGTTGTGTGGTTTGATTAGTTATTGATGTAGAATGAAAGTTCAGTTCAGACATGGCTTAAATATGTGGAGTGGGAAAATATTACTTTTTAGGATTGATTTCTAGTTTTTTATTCTATTTTTGCTATTGACATCTATGTAAAGCTTGTATTATACACTATGGTCTCTGGATAGCTTGGAATTTTTCTAATTCTATCTTTTTCATTTTGTTAGTTCAATTTCAACAATCATAAGTTAATATATGTATTGTGAAGTATACGAGCCAACAACATCACATAATAGCCATAGACATCGGTAATTGTGTTAATTCTTGTAGTGTAGCATTGGGAAAGGAGTCACCAGACCTTGCAGCTAAGCTGGATCCTGATGACAGGGTGAGCTCAGAAATAAATTTATTTCATCAGCTTATAATCTAGAAATGAAATTTACTTCATTCTGTTATAACTTCTAAGGTGCTCAATTACTTTAACATGTTAAAATTTTGTCATGGTTAACAAGACAACACCGATCAGGATGATGAAGGCAGTGATGGTTGTGAGCAAAAATCATTCCAGCTAGGAGCACGTCAATACAAAGCATCTGATTGCAATTCACGCTGGGAAACCAAAGAATGGATTGAAAGAGGTTCTGAGGGCTGGAATTGGAAAAATTAAACGTCTTAGTTTGAGTGAAACAACACTTGAAAAGGCAGATGGTTGCATTTAATCTGCAGGTTATACCCAAAGGGGACCTGAGTCACCTCCTCAAATTTCAATCCACTTACTGAATGGAAGCATGGAGCTCAGATGGTTGCATTTAATCTGCAGGTTAGTTTTGAAGTCTTGTGTCTTCATAAAATCATGTTTGGAAAAATTAAACGTCTTAGTTTGAGTGAAACAACACTTGAAAAGGCAGCAGAATCTTATGGAATTGACCTTGTGAGGTAATCAATGAAGTTCTATGTGCTTAATATCTCTAAGAATTATCTTAAAACATTTATATTTTCACTCCAGTGAATGATTAGATCTCTGCTATTTTTATTAATCTTTTCTCTCTTGTCCCCCTTAGGTTCACACAAAAGAATATTCTGAGGGTATACCCAAAGGGGACCTGAGTCACCTCCTCAAATTTCAATCCACTTACTGAATGGAAGCATGGAGCTCAGATGGTTGCATTTAATCTGCAGGTTAGTTTTGAAGTCTTGTGTCTTCATAAAATCATGTTATTCATGTTTTTTTGGTGAGCTTTCGTAATATTTTCTCTATTTCTTAATGTTGTGTGGTTTGATTAGTTATTGATGTAGAATGAAAGTTCAGTTCAGACATGGCTTAAATATGTGGAGTGGGAAAATATTACTTTTTAGGATTGATTTCTAGTTTTTTATTCTATTTTTGCTATTGACATCTATGTAAAGCTTGTATTATACACTACGGTCTCTAGGTAGCCTGGAATTTTTCTATTTCTATCTTTTTCATTTTTTGTAGTTCAATTTCATCCTATTGCAATGTAATGTAACAACATTGAAAATAAAAAATAAAAAAATGACTACATAGCAGCTTCTAGTAGTAGCATAATATCACATAGAATGCCAAACTTGAGTCACATGACGTGATTTGTTTAATGTTAATATTCTTATAGAGGTTAATATTCAACTAATATCTTGGGAATCTGGCACATTCGTTTGTTTATTTCTTTTCTCTTTATTTTTTGCTTGCCCTATATATAGATTTGACAGCAAGTCAAATGCAGGGTTCAAATTTGATGCCAGAGAATAGATAGATATCCTTATAAATAGATAGATCCAACTAATTCTCTTCATTTACTGTTTCAATATTTAGCATGTTGCAGAGATAGCTTATGAGAATCAATTTGTGATGAATACTCGAGAAGTCGAACATGGGACAATTACATACCTGGAGAAAGTAAAATTCCTACAAAGCAATTTGCTGGCAGCTCACAGTGTTTGGGTCACTGAAACTGAGGTTATTCTCCATGTTCATTCCATGGGACACCTTGGTATATATCCCAAAATAAATAAATAAATAATTTTCCTTGTTTATTCCATGTTGCATGTTATTAATATCAAGTCCAATCTGTTTAATCTTGCCTACTTGTGCAACCAGATTTAGAAAACAAATTTAGAATAAGTCAAAATTTTCAAAAAAAAAAAAAAAAAGGTGAAGCAGAATGTAGATTTGCTTTACACTTGTATGACTGGTCATATGTGTGTAACTGTAGTTGACTTCTGACTACCAATCAACTTATCTAAGATTGTAGAATGGGAGCTTTCAAATTTGTCTTCTGTGTCAATAAGAAGAAGTGTGAGAACTTCTAAATTTTCTCATCTTGCTTGCTTTACATATTCTTGTTCTTGGAGTGAGTTGTGGTTCTTTGTACTACGCTGCATCTTTGATGATATCAGAAATTTTTGTAATTACTCTATTTTAGACAAGTCAACGATGTCTGTCCATTGCTGGAGCTGATTGTGTATGCAAGAATACCCTATTACCCCTTTAGTTCGTTCTTATTTATTTATTTATTTATTTTTATTATTAAAAAAAAAATTGGATGGGGGTTGAATGTCCCACATTTTTAGAGCTCCATTAGAAAGTTTGACTTCACGTTATTCAGTTCATGTTAAGTGGATAGTGATATGGATATGTTTAGTCTCATGCTGTAATTTTTTTACCTTTTAAGGATGAATCACTTGTTGCAGTGAAACTTGATTTTTTTTTTTTTTTTTTTTTTTTCGGCAAATAAATCTTTATTGATGCAAAACATACAAGATATGAAGAGATACATCAATAAAGAGGAGCTTGGAGCTAACACGAAGCTCCAAGCTCCGGTTGGTGAGGAACCAACAAACAGGAAAGCAAAAAACAAAACAGCAAAACAGATATAACCCAATCAACCCTTACAACCAACTAACACATTGACTAACAACCCAATCAGCCATCAAACAAGCAAAACACAGCGGCAGCAGAAACCAAACACAGCACACAGCCCAATCCAAACACAGCAGCAGCAGAAACCAAACACAGCAGCAGCAGACTCACTAAACAGATGCAGACCAGAATAGCAGCAGCAGCCTCACTATAGCAGAACAGTCTCGCTATAACACAACAGATGCAACAAACAGAGCATTGAAGCAGAGGACCTGAATGATGAATGCACCCAGACAGAACAGCAGACAGTCTTCAGCCAAAATCACCCAGACAGATCAGAATAACAGACTGGCAGATCAGAGCCGAATCAAAAAGGCTAACAGATCAGCAGAGAAGAGGAGAAGGATCAAAAGGCAAAGACCAACTGAGGATTCAGGAACAAAGCCTGATTTGATTCCATTTGAAAGCTAAATCATCAATTGAGAATGGGAAGTTCTTAATAGATGCTTTCAACCAAAAAGCTGCCCTGATTTTGATTAATTCACACAGACCAAAGAAATTGGATTGAGTCTCAAAGAAGACACATTCGTTCTTGTGCTTCCAAATGGACCAAAGAACAATAAGGGGGATAGCTCTCCAAATTAGCCTATCAAAGCTCTTCAATCTAACACCCAACCACCAATTGAGAAGGCCTTCCACAGAGTTATTGATGCACCAGAAAAATCCCCAATCATGAATAAAAGAAGACCAGATCAACCAAGAAAAAGGGCAAAGAAGCAAAACATGAACAGCAGATTCAGGTTCAAATCTGCAGAAGGGGCAAAGAATGGAAACGCTGCTATCCAGAATGCCAAGTCTGTGCAAAAATTCGGCAGATTTGATTTTGTTTTTCCATGCCAGCCAACAGAAAAATGAAACCTTGGGGGGAGTGGTTTTATTCCAAATGGATTTACAGATTCTGAGATTGGGGCCGAGATTAGAGCTGCTAAGAGAGTAAAGAGAGGACACAGAGAACTCACTACTATTTGTTGATGCGCAAGCCCAGGACAAACAGTCTGCTCTATCAAGACTCAAAGAAGGAGCGGAGGAAAGGACACCAAGCAATCTAGCTTCTTCAGCCAATTCCCATACATATAACACTCTTCTATGGGGTAAATTCCAATCAGTTGAACTGATTTTCCTTGCAAAGAATTGGTGGAGAGAACCTTCCTTATCAGTTGAAAGATTAAAGAGATGTGGAAAATCAATCTTAAGACAAGAGGTACCACACCACTTATCATGCCAAAATTTGATTCTATTTCCATTACCCACTTTAATGAGGCAATTACCCAAATAGTTGTTGTAAATAATACTACTATGAGTCCCAATGGAGATGATGTCTTTCCACAGTCTGGAATGTTTAAAAGAGGCCGTCATTGGCGGAAACCAACACAGCTCATCAACCTTATATTTACTACAAATAGCTTTCCTTCAAAGAGCATTGATTTGAGTTCCAAATTTCCACCACCATTTGAGTAGCAAGCAAGCATTGACGTCTCTGATCCTGCGGATACCCAACCCCCCTTGATCTGTGCTCCTTGTAACCTCCACCCATTTCACAAGGTGAACTTTCCTTTTAATGGCATTACCACCCCATAAGAAATTAGCCTCAATCTTTTCAATATCTCTAGCCACACCTTCAGGCCACACCTTCAGGCATCTTAAATAAAAAGAGAAAGTACACTGGTAGACTGGATAAAGGAGACTTGATCAAAATTAGTCTTCTGGCAAATGACAACAGTTTTCTCTTCCATCCGGAAAGTCTAGATTTAAATTTGTCAAGCACCGGCTTCCAAGTAGATTTCCTACTAGGGTTATCACCAAGGGGCAGCCCCAAAAATTTGATAGGCAGGTTATGCACTTTACAGTTTAGAAGCCTTGAAAAAGAGAGCAGTAAAGCATCATCCACACCAACACCACACACCACACTTTTGTGGTAATTAATTCTGAGACCAGAGAGAACTTCAAAGCATCTGAGAATTCTTTTGACAAGGACCAACTGATCCCAATCTGCTTCAGAAAAAAGAATTGAGTCATCGGCAAATTGCAAATGAGATAAGAGAACATCATTAGCCCCAACTAACACTCCTTTCAGGATGCCAAGATTAAGAGCTCTGCCCAAAAGTATATTGAGCCCTTCAGATACTATATTGAACAGGAAAGGTGATAGCGGATCACCCTGCCTAAGACCTCGTTGGGGTAAGAATTCCTTTGTTGGTGATCCATTCACAAGAACTGAAATTCTAGCTGTAGAGACACACATTTTCATCCAAGAAGTCTATTGGGATCCAAAACCAAAACTAGACAACAATGAGAATAGGAATTCCCAGTTTACAGAATCGAAGGCTTTCTCAAAATCCAGCTTTAAAATCAAGCCTTGTTTCTTGGCTTTCTTCCATCCATCCACCACTTCATTAGCAATGAATACCCCATCAATGATATTTCTCCCGCCTATAAAAGCCGTCTGAGTTTCACCAATAATTGTGGGTAACACAGGCTTCAATCTATATGTTAGAACTTTTGCCAAAATTTTGTATAGAGAACTCACAAGACTAATGGGTCGATAATCAGACAGATTAATGGGATTTTCCAACTTAGGGATGAGAGTAATAAACTATAGACGCCCCCGAACGCCCCCAGGAGGAACGAGTCCCCCGTTCCGTTCGATATTGGGCTCACTACAGTTCGGACTCTCAAATTGTCACGGTTCTAAGTCTGAACCAAAGAGTCCAAATCCGGCAAATCGTTTTTGAGAAAATAGATTTTTTTAGAAAAGAAGTGTCAAACATGGACTGCTTTGCCAGATACAAAGTCGCCACCTAAATGTTTTATTTTAGGGAAATTTAGGAAACCCTGACTCGTTTGCCTAAGGCCACGTGTCCGTCATCACCAAAGTTGCCTCGGCTCGGGAACTTGGGTACGATTGGGGAAGGTCACTTCGTGAGCACCCCCGCTCGCCCGATCAAAGATCGGCCTCTACTAACCATGATATCTAATTTTGAAAACTTTGGTGTCCTTATTCCGGTTATTAGCCTAGTTACTATGTGATGGCAACAGCATAAAGTATAGACTGGTCGTCTGAATTGGAACAAAACATTTCTGTTTATTTTTAAAGTGGTTGATGGTGCTACCGCAAGTAGCTAAGACGTGGATTTGCACCCCTCGGGTGGGCTTAGAAAAAATTATTTTTGACACTATCTAGTGGGCTTAAAACACACATTTAACAGAATTGTCCAATCCAAATAACCCAACTTCACCCATTAGGCACTCAGGCAGCTTATATCACATAAGCAATTAGCCTCATGGTTAAGCATGCTATCATGGCAGCAACTCACACGCATGCAAGGATGCTAAAGCATAAAACTTACCGAGTACTCAGCCAAAACAGGATAGCTAGGTTAGAAATCCATGCATGATCCTAAACTATACAGAAATGCTTAATGCAACACATGCAAAAATGCAACTATAGCAGGCTCGGCTATTCTAAGCAATAGCATATGAAATGCTACAGCTAACATGTATTCAATCTTGGAATTGAAAATACAATGCATTAATATGATGCGCCGAGCCCGGTGCATGCAAAACAGATGAATGAATGCAAACATGCTATCATACTGTATGCTAATTGAAACATGCCCTAATCTAACCATCATAAGCGCGGTAAATAAAAGGGAGAAAGACGTGGGGTTGGAAGACATACATCACACACACGCACACTTATACAGTTGTGCCCTGCGCAGAGGGCCGAATAAATTAATATACAGTCCCGCAATGAATAATTACAGTCCAAATAATTACAAAACCCTAATTAATTAACAAATTAAACTAGGAAGCAATAAATTGGCATGCAAGCCAGGGACTGCCTCAACTCTGCTTCGGATGATGAAGGATGCATGCTCTGGTTGACTTTGTCGGAAAATCCACTGCGATGCCCTAATTAGCCTCTGTTTGCAACTATTCTTGGGATGCGTGCCAAGCTCCGGAAGGCTGCTGATTCTTGATTTGCTGCAATAGAGAGCAACAAAGGGGCATGGCAAAGTATTTTCACATATGTATGCATGACTACTCTTCAGGGAGTGTAGTCCTCGATCCTCGTGCCACCAATCACGCATATCGATGCATGATGGCTGAGGAGTCGAATTGCACGACTCAATATGAAATGAATGCACATATAAACACAACAAAACCTAAATTCCATCAAGGATAATCTGGAGTGTCGGTGACTGGGAATTGAGACATGTTCCGTCACTCGAAGTACGAAACGTCCCTCGTTTCCCGTGCTCGGGCTAACTCCTATCCCAAACACAATGCGATATGCATGACATGCATGAATGCAACTAATATACAACCTAGCAGGTACAATGATATGGAATGGCATACACGATGCACGAGGTAACATGGCATACACAATGCGCTAACATGCAACCTAGCATACACAATGCTATGAAATGAAATGGCATACACAATGCACAATGGACTTACACCAACATGAGTGGACCTCAGCCACACTCACATAGGAGGCCATGAGATGAAAATGAGACACTCGAAATGCGTGCACACATGCACGCAAACCGAGGACCGAACCTAAGGCACGAATGCCACTTTACCAAAGCATGGCAAGGCATGGAATATGGTATACAAGCATGCAAATTTAAGTACCAAAATATGATGCAAAACAGCCCCGAAACATGGCAATATGGTACCCGATGCATGGAATGAGACCCGAAACATGAGATTAGGTACATGGAATGACCTATGACTATGCAAAGATTGCATTATTCGAACATGAAGTGTGAAGAAAGAATCAAGACAGTCCCAAAAAAAGCATATTTACAGTTTTAAGAAAGGCCAAAAAGTGAACATAAATAGGGCTAAGTTAACATGCAAAAATGGCCCCAAAAGAGAGATAATGAAGCAAGTAGCAGCTGCTAGCCCTAAATGGCGGAGAGCCCTTCAACAGAGTTGAAGTGGGGCTCAAAACATGATACTTTACAGTTTACAACAAGCCACGAAAACAAACACAAGTATGGCTAAACTATTGTGCAAGAAATGGGCCAAAAGGGAGACAAAGAAGCAAGTGATGGTTTCTGGCCTCAAACAGAGGAGGTGTCTTCAACAAAGTTGAAGAGGGGCCCAAAACATGGTATTTTACAGTTAGTGACCAAACCCAAAACAGTGCACATGCAAGCTTAAAATACTATGCAAAATAAGGCCTAAAAAGAGGTTTAAACACAAAGAGAAAAAAGGGAGCTTCAAAAAGTAAAAGTCCCTTGATAAAACATGAAGAGGGGGTCAAAATAAGGTTATTTACAGTTTGGACCAGAGCCCAAAAATACAAGCACAAGGGGCTAACAAAACATGCAAAAATAAGACCAAAAGAGGGATAAAGAGGCAAGTGACAAAAGGAAGCCTCAAACAGTGAAGCGCCCTTCAACAATGTTGAACAAGGGCTCAAAATAATCCACTTCACAGTTTATAACCAAGCTCAAAACAGTTTAAAAATAGGCCTAAAATACCATGCAAGAAAGAGGCATACAAGAGAGGTAAAGAAGCAAGTGTAAAAAGGAAGCCTCAAATAGGGAGAGGCCCTTAAACAAACATGAAAATGACCTCAAAATAATGCTATTTTCAGTTAGGGTGGGAGCCCAAAAATGGAAGCAAGTATGGCTTAGAAAGCATGCAAAAGAAGCTCAAAAAGAGGAAAAGTATGGCTCACCCTTGTAGACCAAACTTCAACAGCCTCTTGGCTTGAGAAAAGGTGCTCCTTGCCTCTGGAAAACCAGCTCCAAGTGTTGGAAAGGATGGTGGTGGTATGGTGCTAGGTGGTGGTGTAGAAATGGTGTAGGGTTTGGGAGATTTTGAGGGTTGGAGTGTAGAGAGAAAGAGATACACTGTGGGAGCGTCGAAGCAAATTTTGTAACCCTTCAGATGGGAGCTGGAGGTGCTGTTATATAGGCAAAAGAGGGGGGAAAAAGAAGGGGAATGGAATTCAAGTTTCCCCCCAAAAGTTGGCCCTCCCGGATACACAACCTGGGGGGAAACAAAATACATATTTGTAGTGTACCTGGAGAGAGGATCATGGCCGGCCGGTTTCCTAGGGTTTAGGTGGCCGGTCGGCCTTCCCCATAGCCGGTCGGCCAAGGGTCAAAAGGGTCAATGAAGATTAATGGCCGGCCATGCCAAAAAGAGGGCCTCTCATGTGTGCACAACACAACCATGTGGTCAAAAACTGGAGAGAATGAACCAGGAGAGAGAAAAGGCCACTTTTAGGAAGGGTTCAAAAGGGTCAAAACAATTACTAGGCCGGCCATGTGATATTGGTGGCCTCCCAAGTGTGTACAACACCAAATATGTGGTTTAGGGCTGGAAAAAGTGGC